GATTACCAAATTTAGACTTTACAGTCTATTTGGTTTTTTATTTATCTACCAATAAAGCTCAATCTTGATCTTATTATTATTACCCACTTGTAACGTTGAAAATGATCGAAGGAACCGTAAGATTTTGTTTTAATTTATTTTTTATTTTATTTTTATTTAAAATTATAAATATTTATCCTCTTTTTACTTTTTCTTAGTCACAAGATATTGAAACTTTAGAGTTTCAAAAAGAAACCTGGTACACTGATGCACTTGGTAAAATTATTAACTTTCAGTTATTCGAAATAAATATATTTTTTAACATTATTCTTCATCCTAGACTATTGGTCAAACAAACCAGCAACAATAAATGGAGTGTTGGGAGGGTATGGTAAAGTAGATAAAATAGATACAGAAGGTTCGCGGTTATTTATTAGTGAATATATATATGGTAAAAAAGGAGCACGTAATAGAAAATTAACATTACCAAGAATAACTGAAGAATATGCATGTGACTGTGGAGCTGGTATAGGAAGAGTAACAAAGAATTTTTTATCGAGATTATTTAAAAAAGTTGATTTAGTAGAATATACACCAAAATTTATTGAACGGGCCGAGAAAGAATTTCTTAAAAAGGAGAAAGAGGAAGGTAAAATTGGTGAATTTATTTGTAAAGGATTACAAGAATTTATACCAGAAGAAAGAAAATATGATTTAATATGGTGTCAATGGGTGATTGGACATTTAAAAGACGATGATTTGATTGAATTTTTTAAGAGGTGTAAAATAGGTTTGAAACCTAATGGATTAATTGGTGTTAAAGAAAATGTTTGTGTATTCGGCTATCAATTTGATGAAACTGATAGTAGTGTCACTAGGTATTTCATTAATTTCTTCTGGTTCATTTTTTTAACTGTCTACTCATTAAAATTTCATTAACAATAGATCGGATGAAATTTTTAAAGATATTTTTCAAAAATCTGGATTAAAATTAATAAAAGAAGCAACGCAACATGGAATGCCCAAACAATTATATGAAGTTAAAATGTAATTTATTTTACTTTGGATGTTTCATTGACTTGGACTATCCTAGTCTTTCACGCTTTACTTTTTTTTTTTTTTAGGTATGCACTTGAATGTGCTGATGATCTTGATCAAGAGGAATTAATGCCGAATGAATGATATATATCCACAAAGAACAATCATAGATGTCTCAACTAGATTTTGAACCTATCTTATTTTTCTTTCTTTTTAATTGTTTCTTTTTCTTGATTGATTGTTTAACTTTTTCAAGTTTTTCTTTACGAATTGATTGATTTCGTTGTTTTTTAATTTGACGATCTTCTATTATTTGCTCAAGGTTATTCTATATAAATATAAATATAAAGATATGTTATTAACACGTCATCTTTTTATTTATTTTATTTTATTTTTAATTAAAAAAGAACCTTACTTGACGCTGTAATTTTTTTTCAATGCGCTCATCTTCATCATCATTTAATTGATCAATTAAATTCATCATAGTATCCTTATCAACGAATTTTCTACCCCTTTTCAAAATATCTAAATTTTTTTTCTTTTTTTCTTGAACATTTTTTGATCCTAATTCACAATCAGAAGTTTCAGTTTCTGAACTTGTAATTTTTTGTTTTTGTTGTTCTTTTGCCTATGAATATAATTCGACATAATTATTAATAAAAATAATTTAACAGAAAGGTTAAAATAAAATTTCTATAATTACCGTCGATAAATTCTTACGATTCTTTGATTGTGACATTTTACCAGTAAAATCAGATTTAGGTATCATTTAAAAGTAGTGTGATCAGTTGATTTTGTCGATCCATCATAAATTCTAAAATCAATTCCGCAATTTAAAATTTGATTTATTAATTAAATTTAATAATAAATTTAAAAATTATTTGATGTAATATATTACAATCAAATCCTAGATTAGAGATGATACTGAAAAATATATATATATATATATGACTTTCTTATTTATTACTTAAAAACTTATAACATAAACAAAAGTTTATTTTATTTATACAAATTTTTTTACTATAATTAATTATTTGTTACATTATAAATTAATTAAATAAAGATATATAGAAGATTTGCTAGAAAATGGGATTCTGGAAATTTTTTAACAAAAATTTGTTTTTATTACATTTAGTTTTTAATGTTATTAGATTTAAATGTAATAAAGTTTTAATTTTAATTAAAATTTTCAGAATCCTATTTTTAAAAAACTTCTAATATATTATAATAAAAATAATATAAATAATCATAAAAAGTTTATAAGGAATTAAAGAAATTAAATAAATTAAAAATTACAGATATTATAGATAAATAGAAAAACAGATACAGTTAGCTTTTATAATTATATCTTTTAGGATTATCTAATGATATATTATTAAAAATAGTGTTATAACTAGTTGCAATTATATAATGCTTATTTGTTATTAGTTGTAACTAGTTACAACTAAATTTTTATTAATATTACAATGAATTACAACCTGTAATACTTATTTATTATCAGTTGCAATATTATTTTTATTAATTATATAGAAATATGCTTATAATTATATAATAGATTTCTGATTAACTTAATTAATTATACTTTTATAGTTTTAAATTTTTAGTCTAATAATTGATATGATAATAATTATAATTTATAAGTGATTATAAAGAATTATATTATATTAAAAAATCAGAATTAAAATATAATATATTTAAAAAAAGGATATGATTATATAGAATATAACTATAAAAAAGATTGGTTATGTATAATTTATAAATTAAAATAATTAAATAAAATAAAATTATTACTAGTTATTATTTGATATAGTTATAAAGTTATCTAACCTAAAATAACCATAGATCTTATATAATATTAAATAATTATATGATTTCTTTTATTAATAATAAATATTTATATTTATTTATATTATAAACTAAATATAATATTTAGGTAGATTATTTTTAATTTAATTACTATAGTATAATTATAAATTATCAAAATTTAATTTTAAAAATATCAATTAAAAATAATATTATGATCAGTTCTTTAAAATACTTATAAGTAATAAGTAATACAAGTAGAGCAAAAATGAGGGTTCTGGGGTCAGAAATCTGAAAAGGTATTCAGAAACCTCCCAATCTTATTTTTAAAGCCTTTTAGCTATACGAATCCTATATTGAATTTAAAGCTCTAGCCCAAATTTAAGCTTTTCTCACTATCTAATATTTGGTATCAAATTTTATATTAAATTACTTCACAGGATACCAAGAATAAATCAATCTCTTATAGCCTTTCTAGCCCAATTTTAATCCTAAATAATATATCAAAAAAA